TGGCATGATTTGGTCTTCATCACAACCTCAGCTCCCGGTTCCAAGTGATATCTTCTGCCTTCAGCCTCACGCGTGCTGCGATTTACAGGCATTCGCACACTACCCCACCCGCGGCCCCCGCCAATTTTTGTATTTTTAGTACAGCGGGGGGATTTCTCCATGTTGGTATCAGGGGCTGGGTGTTGAACTTCCACCTCAGGTGATCCAGCCCAACCTCTCGGCCCACCCAAATGCTGGGATCTTTGACAGGCATGGAACACCGCGCTCGAGCCAGGGAAGCATCGTTAAAAAAATTGATAATGGGGCCAGGCATGGGGTGGCTCACACCTGTAATCCCAAGCACTTTGGAAGGCCGAGGTGGGTGGATCACGAGGTCAGGAGTTCGAGACCAGCCTGACCAACATGGTTGAAACCCACCATCTTTACTAAAAATACAAAAATTGGCCTGGTGTGGTGGCATATGCCTGTAATCCCAGGCTGCTCAGGAGGCTGAGGCAAGAGAATCACATTGAATCCGGAGGGTGAGGTGGAGGTCTGCCGTGAGCTTGAGATCCTGCCATTGCAACTCCAGCCTGGGCAACAGAGGTGAGACTCTGCCTTAAAAAAAAAAAAAGTTTGGCCAGGCGTGGTGGCTCACGCCTTGTATCCCAGCACTTTTGGAGACCGAGGTGGGGCGGATTCACGAGTCAGAAAAAAAAAAAGTCATATTATGTTAAAACCTTGGGTTTTTTTTCCATAGGAAATTTAGGTTACTAAATTAAAATGGAGCACAAAAAATGTTTTTGGTGAAGTTTCTAAAACACAAGGATAAGGATTTTGCAAAAAACAAAAAGTGTGTTTCTTTCTAGTTAAGAAACAATTTGAGTCACTTTAAGCTGAAGGAAAAAGTATACAAGTAAAAGTAATGGTTAAAAAACAATTAAGACAGGGAAACAAGTTTATCTCTAAGACCTGTGGCTTCCAAGAAGACAGTCAATGTGGGTGAACGGCAAAACCAAGTAACTATTAAAACCAGAGGGTAGGCTGAGCTCGGTGGCTCCCATCTGTAATCCCAGCACTTTGGGAGGCCGAGGCGGGCAGATCACGAGGTCTAGAATTCAAGACTAGCCTGGCTGATATGGTGAAACCTCACCTCTACCAAAAATACAAAAATTAGCTGGGCGTGGTAGTGGGTGCCTGTAGCCCCAGCTACTTGGGAGGTTGAGGCAGGAGAACTACTTGAACCTGGGAGGTGGAGGTTGCAGTGAGCTGAGATCATGCCACGGCACTCCAGCCTGGGTGACAGAGCAAGACTCCACCTCAAAACAAACAAACAAAACAAAACAAAACAAACCCAGAGGGTATAATTGAAAGGAATGGTTCCATTTTGTAGATTGGTATCATCAGTTTCTTAAAAAATCTTTACTATAGTGGATTGTAAAAAGAAACAATTTATGGGCAAAATCCTTAATTTTAAATGCTACAGAATTGAAAAAGTTGTTTGGATTAATGCAGAGCCCACAGCTCACTACTGAACAAGCACTGATAAGTATATGTAATCCAAATGCACAGGAGGTTATTCCTGAAAGAATGATCAGCTACTGGACCAGACAAATGCCACTGTAAGGTCTGTTTGCCCTATAAAGGGGACTACCCAGCTCTCCCTATAAAATACCAAGTGAAGTCCCCCAGATGAAGCAGTGATTGAATAATCTGCTTCATATGCGAGCATTGACTGGCTTTATGATAACTGGGATATCCTCCCACTGAAGATGCCTATTACCCAGGTCATGGGAAATTTGGGGATTAAGAGGTCCCCTTTTGCATGAATTTCCCTCCTGCAGAATCATAGGACTGTTAGAGAAACCTTATCAAATTTGCTGTTCCTGGCCGGGTGTGGTGGCTCATGCCTGTCATCCCAGCACTTTAGGAGGATAAGGCGGTCAGATCACTTGAGGTCAGGAGTTTCCAACAAGATGTTTGTTTACCTTGGAAATGCCCTTCATAAGCCAAACAGCTCATGAGAGCTGTCTATCAGGCACTGCGGAATTTAGCAGCTCCTCACACACATAGTTAGAATTAGTCCTAGGGAGAAAGAGGCTCCCTGCTTATGAGTATCTCCTCCTTGTATCTCCAGGTGGCAAGATTTTATTTTATCATGGAACTCTTTTGGGCACCATTATTTCAATTAGCATAGGGGTAGCTTCAGTTAACGTTTCACAGCAAGGCAGTATATGCACGTTAAGTGGAAATTCTCTAGTCCAGTAGTTGTCATTGGGAAGTACTCATAAGGGATTTTTGTTTTGTTTTGTTTCTTGCCATTATCCCCAATAAACACTCCACAAAGGGCTATGAAGGGGATGATTTGTCCCAACTAGCACTCTACCTTCTACTCTATACTTTGTGGGCTCAGGTGAATTTACTATTTCCCATTAACATGTCCAACTAACATTTTTCAAAAGAGGAGATACACATGCCTTCGGTTTTATAGTACTAGGTAGGGGAAACATCCCCCAGCTAGATACGATACCCATTTTCATAAGACATTTAGGTAAAGGGATTACAACTACGTTACCTAAACCCTGTTTAAACATCTTAAATTTCATAATTCTATTAACCTGTACATTTTTATGTTCTATCCGCAGATGATTTTACCTTTCCTGGCAAAAAAAAAAAAAAGGGCTTGGGTTCCCAGCAGGGAGTTGCATCTGTAAGACCCATAAGGAACGGCAATCTTTTGTTGCTGTTGTTGTTGTGTTTTTTTTGTTTGTTTGTTTGTTTGAGACAGAGTCTCATTCTAGTGCCCTGGCTGGAGTGCAGTGGCACAATCTTTGCTCACCGCAACCTCCGCCTCCCAGGTCCAAGTGATTCTCCTGTGTCAGCTTCCCGAGTAGCTGGGACTACAGGTGTGCACAGCCACACCAGGTTAATTTTTGTATTTTTAGAAGAGACAGGGTTTCACCATGTTGTTCAGGCTGGTCTCAAACTTCTGACCTCAGATGATCCACCCACCTCTGCCTCCCAAAGTGCTGGGATTACAGGCATGAGCCACCATACTGGCCAACACTTTGGTTTTTTTCTTTCTCTCCCTTTTTTTCTTTTAGCAACCACAGGCAAAACAAAGAGAAGCACTACTTTAATAATGACAATATACAACCTAAATTTAAATGAGAAGACTTTTGTGATCCATAATGGAACACAAATATGGTAAAGGAAAGGGTATGGAACTGGGCATTAGACAAACCTGGTTGGAGTTTTTTTTGTTAATAGGAAGGCATGGAATTTTTTTTTAAAAAATCAGCTACAACAGCTACTTGGGAGGCTGAGGCAAGAGGATTGCTTAGGCCCAGGAGGTCAAGGCTTCAGTGAGCCATGATCATGCCACTGCACTCCAGCCTCAGTGTCAGAGTGAGACCCTGTCTCAAAAAAATAAAACAATAATAATAGTGATAATTTTTAGTTACAACACTTAAATGGTTGTTGAAATAATAAATATAAAAGGCTTGGTATAGTAGATGCTTAATAAATCATAGTATCTGTCTCCCCTAGAAGATTCCAAGGCTGGAAGCTAGGAGATCTGGCTCCTAATGATGCAGGATTTTTCTTGGCCCCTTAAACAAACTCACGGA